TACATTTTCTTGCAGAACCTCCACAAGTAATACCCATAGACTTTGGGGAACCTACATTTTATGAAGGAGATTTGGCTCAGGCCACCTGTGTACTTCGAACGGGAGATCGTCCTGTAACCTTCACATGGAGGTTTGATGGATTGAAATTGACTCAGACAGATGACACTCAGGTCCTTACTGTTGGTGGTAGGACCAGTATACTGACCCTTGATCCTGTGCAGGCTCATCATCAAGGAACATACAGTTGCATGGCCACTAATGCAGCTGGTATAACAGAAGTACAAGCCAAGCTGATTGTTAATGGTAGAGAAAATCATTCATGAGATCATTTCTGTTGGGTACTAAAGTAATTGATCATCAGGATTGGGCTTAGGGCTTTACTACTAATAGGATTGATGCTCTCCCTGTTCCTCGTGCTGTATTAAGAAAATAGATGTAAAGCAGTATATCAGAATGAAAGTTCTTCTATTTTTCTTACAGAATCTCCTGAACTATTACCTATTGACTTTGGCTTGGAGGCATTTTTTGAGGGTGACTTGGCACAAGCCAGCTGTAGGCTTCGAAAGGGTGATCGACCAATTACAATTAAATGGTTGTTCAATGGTATAGAATTAATAAATTCTGAGGATACTCAAATTAGCAACCTAGGAGCCACGACCAGCATCTTGACCCTAGAGCCAGTTCGGGCACATCATCAAGGCAATTACAGTTGTAGTGCTGCTAATGATGCAGGAGTTACCCAAGTGGAAGCAACTGTTATAGTTAATGGTACACTGTGGATCTTTGCGAAAATCGTGTATGTGGGATACTGGTACTAATCTGTACAGATTTAATTTCTTCTGCTTTTCAATGAGTGCTAGACATTACCTTCTCCCTGTTCCTAAGTGTTTATGTAATACAGTATTATGGTTTCCCTTTTATATTGTGATTCATGCATGCACACACCCATACACAGAGATATGCACATGCACTTGCACAAACTCATAAACATACTAGAGATAGACTGGCATAAACAAAAGTGCACAACTTGGGTAATTCACCAGCAAAATTTGTATTGTCTTGCAGAACCACCCCAAATTATGCCAATAGAATTTGGATCAGCAGCATTTTATGAGGGTGACTTGGCTCAGGCTAACTGTGTACTTCGAAAGGGTGACCTACCTCTTGTCATCACATGGATGTTAAATGGCGTAGAACTTGTCAGCACAGACGATACTGAGATCGTTAGTGTGGGGTCCAGGACGAGCATCTTGACTCTTGACCCTGTTCAGGCTCACCATCAGGGCAATTATGCCTGTTTTGCTAAAAATGCAGCTGGAAGTGCTCAAGTAGAAGCAAACTTGATTGTTAATGGTACACTGTGGAATTTTATGGAGCTGGTCAACATGGGGGTACTAATTGGATAGCTATTATGACAAAGCTTTTTGATTCTTTGGTGGTTAGGCTTTTTCATCTCCCTGTTCCTCCAAAATTATAAATATTTAATTTTGTTAAAAAAAGTTACATTTTAATTTGTATTCAAAATTATTTAAAATACAGTACTCTAGTTATAATTTGATTAAAGCCTGTTACAGTTTGGTCTGCTCTTGCCCAAATTGATGAAGCTTACAATATAAATACTGTACATGCAATATAAATACTGTATTGCCAGTGTTAAAATAATTTCACTGATACAGTATTGTGTCTAAGTCACTAACAGACTAACTACATCTAACAAATTTAATACAGGAGGTAGCTTTAGACATAAGATGCCACTAAAATATAAGTACAGTACTGTACAGTATCTGTAACTTTTTACTGAATTTAGATCTCATGTGTGTAAATTAGTTAAATACTCATGAATAATTGCATGTATTTATGCAAATATACATATACACATGCATATGTAAACTTATTTGTGCTCTCATCCTGTAACTACACTTAGGTAATTACATGGCTGTTTTTGTGTTATTTGTTGCTTTGAAGGCAGAATGGCACAAGCAAAAGTGCACATATAGACTATTCACTGCAAAATTTGCATTGTCTTGCAGAACCACCCAAAATTTTGCCAATAGACTTTGAATCCGAAGCATTTTATGAGGGTGATTTGGCTCAGGCTAACTGTGTACTTCGAAAGGGTGACCTTCCTCTTGTCATCACATGGATGTTAAATGGCGTAGAACTTGTCAGCACAGATGACACTGAGATCGTCAGTGTGGGGTCCAGGACGAGCATCTTGACTCTTGACCCTGTTCGGGCTCACCATCAGGGCAATTATGCCTGTTTTGCTAAAAATGCAGCTGGAAGTGCTCAAGTAGAAGCAAACTTGATTGTTAATGGTACATTGTGAAATTTTGTGATGCTGGTCAATATGGGAGTACTAACTGGATAACCATTATGACAAAGCATTTTGTTTCTTTGGGTGTTCGGTTTTTTCATCTCCCTGTTCCTCCGAAATTGTGAGAAATTATAGTTCATTAATGCTATACCTGGTATAGCCATACTGGCTCAGCACTTTCTTTTAAAATTATTTATTTTTCATTAAAAAAAATCATCAAGACTAAGTTTAGCACCACATTGTTTTCTGTAGTTCAGTTAGTTATTTTACCGGAGGAAACCTATTTGAAGGGAATCTTTTTTACTATGAATTTTTCACCAGCTTTAGATACCTCTGAATAAGCAGCATTTGATTTAAACATGGCCACATTATAAGTATTTATGTTGATATCATGAGTGAGTGCTAGTGAATCCTTGAACTATCAAAACAGTAGTTTTCCCTACAGTTGGTTTATTAATGTATTTTTTGTTTTAATTTATATAGTACATTGATATGCAAGTAAGTGCACATACATTTGTACAGTACAGTATTTCATAATACAGTCAGGATCAATAAGCTCTTAATTAAGTTATCAAAGTCCTCCTCAGACAAGCATTATATTGCTATGATAAAATTCTTATATTTCTTTCATTGTAGATCAAGCTTGGCAACTTAGCTGGAAAATTGTGAGGGTAATTGTGTTTCCTTTGTCAAAGTGGCAAAGCCACTTTGGTAATTTGGTAGAGTTTAAACACACTGTATTCATTTTGCTATATGCCCCAAAATCAATCTGCACTCACACAATTCACATATTCAATTATAAATAAAACAAGAATTATCCCATACTTAATTACCTTAGTTCAAGCTAAGTTATAATTGGATAGGTAAGGTTATTTTAGGTTTCAATAGTGTAGGTCTGAGCTTATATCTCTACATATTTTGTCTATCTTATCAATACATCAGTTAAAAATGTTTTAAAAACATAATTCTGTAGTTACTGTATATATATATGGCCACTTCTGCAGTTCTGCCTGAAAAGCACAATGGAGAGATACAATACATCCATATATGAACAGGAACAAATTAACCTTTTATGCATCCCGGTTTGGGGTATAAATTATAAATTTTACAGTACAGTACATCTTTCAGTTATAAAAATGTGGCTTCAGATTGTTGATCAGACACACCATTAAAATGTATAGGGATATGAATGCTTTAAAAAGCTTTTGTTTCCTAGTGACTTATAATTCAATACAGTAGTTAGCAAAGTCAACTCAACACTGATTGGGCCAGAGTTCAGTTTCTTGACAAGGTGAGACATGTGGGGCATGTTTACTTACACCTGAAGCCTCTGTTCATCTAGCAGTATATAGGTACTTGGAAGTTAATTATCTGTTGTGTTCGTGGACCTGGGGTAATGGTCAGTCGTTGACTAGGGGACTTTGATAAGCTAAAAAGACTTTCTGTTCTCATCAATGGGAAATCATTATGGGACCCCTTTCCAGCGTGGGCCAAGTGTTGTAGAGTCATTGTAAATATGGCCTTGTTTTTGGAATGTAATAATGCATTACAGTACTTGAAACTCTTAACTGAAGTCAGACAATTTTAATTATTAATACACGAGATATGATAGCATTGAAGCTTGTACAGTAGTTATTGAAGCACTTGTATTGCTTATTTACTCCTTCCATAAGTAAAGGTACAGTAAATCTGTATACGAGATTTAATTATGGTTAAAATTAAAGAGATTACTACATAATTTGCTATAAAAACTACTTGTTTCACTCAGGAAACATTTTTTCAACATCTTGTGTAGTATAAAAATCCTTTATCTAATGTTTTGTTGGGTTATTAACTTTCTCATGAGTAACACAAATAGAAACTGATCACTTCTTATATTCAATACTTATAGCCCAAATCATATACGATGCTTAAATGCTAATTTAATGGTTACCCAAATCATCCATAAACAACTGTAAACTTTCATGCACTGCTGTTGCCTTTCAACAGAAATGATAGAGGCCTGACACTTTTGAAAAACCCACCGTTTTGATCAGATGTGCTGCTAGTAGATACAGATATTGTTGCCCGATCTTCCCTAGTTTTGGCTTCATTGTTACGAGTTGCTGCACCACTCATGATATCATGTTTCTTTGATGTTAATTATTCATTAAAAAATATGGGGGTTCTTAGTTTGGCGTAAATACATTTGACCTTGAAGTGAATTGGATTTAACAGTATATATTGTATAGCATAAAAAAAATCATGAAAGAGCAATGGTCTCAGTGTGGTGGCCATAATATTAAAGTTATTATTGCATATTGTATATAATGTTAAAAATGCAAATTAAACACTATTTAGATCAGATTAGGTGAATCAGATTTGTGTTGAATGATCATCGGTATGTTTTTTTTTTTTAATAATTTGGAAGATTTCTTGTGAAAATGGTGGCTTGTATCGCTAAAACATTTATTAGATAAAAGAAGATAAAATTATTATTGCATATACTGTAGTTAAACATACAGAAACCTTAGGAGGTGATTGCAAATAAATTCTAAAGCTGCAAAGACTATTTTACTTATTTTATAAATTGGCTGGTATTTCAAGATAAATATTATCCTTAGCCTGTTTATTCAATTTTTACTGCAGTCAACCTGACCATTGATAATAGAAGAAATATATAAGCAAAACATTCCCTTTCCAGAACGTCCCCATTTGATTCAAATTGACTTCGGCGAGTCAGTTTTTTATGAGGGAGATTTTGCTCAAGCCAACTGCGTCCTGCAGAAGGGTGATCTTCCAGTAAATATGATTTGGATCTTCAATGGTGTCACACTGCATTCTGGTGATGGGATACAGATTGACCATATTGGGAGATCGAGTATTTTGACTCTGGACCCAGTGCGTGGGGCTCATCAAGGTGTCTTCACCTGTAAAGCTTCTAATCGAGCTGGGGAGGAACAAGTATCTGCCACTCTGACTGTCAATGGTACTGGACCAGGAGCTTTCTGTTGAATGCTCACAACCTCCACTCCTGAAAAGTTCTTGCTCTTTCATGAAATCTCATAATTTTGGTGATAGAGAATTCAAGTGGGATATTATCATATTTCTCTTCATTGTCTCTTTGTTCCTCTTCATGAATGCATAAACAGAATTACTTGATTATATACCCAAAACTCCAAAGCCAGAACCTCCAGTGCTTAAACTCATTTGTCATTTAGAAGTTTTTGTTGTATTATTTGAACAAATTGAAATGTTTAATTATTTAGTGCATAGAAAACAGCTGACAAAGCAGTGGCATTATAAAGGGAATGAAGATCATTAGAAGTGGTATTAGGGTCATTAGAAATAGGATAAATGTTAAGTGATCTCGTATTCACGTCACCTTTGAGCACTGTAGGGTACAGCCATCTCATTAAAATGTAGTATCCTTATCATAGCTTATTTGCTGAGTGCATTTTACAGCCCTGATATATTACTGTGCTTTATGCTTGCCTAAGGAATACAAGAAGAATTTTATATTTTTTGTATGTGATATAATGTATGCAACATTGCTTCCATAAGTATTGCTTGTCAATTAGCTCATATTATGAATTACAAAAGTTAGATTTTGTTCACACTATTCATGTTGAATCTAATTTTGAAATTTTATACCATAATATTTTTATGAAAACAAAGAACGGTAAAACCTGATAAGTTTCATCAAACATTCTTACTACTCAGTTTTCCACTTTCATTGGGTAAGGGATTACCAGGTGGGAAAGGATAAAAAATATTATAGGAAGAGGGTTAAATGGTACAGAGTGACAAACAACCTTAAAGAACTACAGAGTTGACCTATAATCCCCCCTCTCCCCCCACTCTGTATGAAAGGGTGGGTGTCATTTTTTTATGCCTTTAACTATATTTCTTATATACAATACTTTTCCTAACTTGGTAGGTGTCAGCAATCCCCCCCTTCAACTCCCTCCCCAGATGAAAGCAAAGAAAAATGTAATACCAGTATTTTGTAACATACTAAGGCAAAATCTATAAATACAAGTAACAAAGTCTTGAGACTAATGGCATTTTCATTAGGCTTCATGTTTTTTTTTGTGACTGTTGTTTGAACGCAAACTTCAGTATTAAAACTTTGATACCAATGCTTTCAAATTGCATTTTAGTTGCTATAAACTAACCAGGTAAACATATTTTCACCTATTTCATAATTTATTAATAATCTACATTTGTTCGCATTTCATCATTAAACACACTGCAGCTCATTTGGTCATTAACATATATTCTAACAAATGTTAATTTGCTAACCCTGCTTCCTGCTTATTTTTCATGTAGCTTTAAAAGGCCTCATCATCTGTGTATCACCACAGTTTTCACCAGCATCACATAAACTTGTTTGGGCTCTCAACAAACATCTTCATTTCTTTCCATGGTTTGGTTTTCTCTTTTATTAAATTAGTTATCATCTTCATCCTCATACCTTTCCAGTGCCACCGGAAATTTCGTCCTTTAAATTCCCTGAGACAGCGGGACGGGATGGTGCTTTTGCTCAAGTTATCTGCGTAATTGCTTCAGGAGACGCTCCCTTGAACATCTCCTGGCTCTACAATGGTGCCAGTGACCTACCTCTAGGCACTGAGTCACTGCTCATTGGAGAAAGAACCTCGATACTGACAATTAAGAGTGTTTCATGGCTTCATAGTGGTGATTATGAATGCCTAGCACAAAATGGTGCTGGAAAAGCCTCCTTTGTAGCTGAATTTTCAGTCCAGGGTACGAGAGACAGTGTGCATCTTCCAGGGGGTTGAGCTGCTTGGAACAATATTGTACCTATTTCTGAAAAAAAATATGAACATTTATTAAATTTTTTGTTTAAATGTTTAAATTACAGTATTATGACTACAGTATAGTAATATCTTTACATAACAAACTGCAACACATACAGCAGTACATAAGTTTTAAAGCGTTTTGTTACATGGTTTACTTAATAGTTATGATATATATGAATCTGCTTAGTGCTACTAAACAAATGATTGGAACTGGTCAAATAATATGGTGGCCAAGGATTCTGACAAAGAAAAGGCAAAATTTTTGCAATAAAAAAGGCACTTTTCCAATAGTATAATAGACTTTTATCAATTTTGCCATAATCTGAGTAAACATGTATACAAAATTCTAGTAAAGTACATAATTGCTGTATGTATATTATTTTGAATAGAGATGTGTACTTTGTGTAAACATTTTCTTGTAAATAGTATGGGGAGTTATAATTTGATAAATTACCCATTCACATACTGTAGAGGCACAGAAATGCATATAAACATATATTTTATTAATAAATTCACATGTGCATGACATACGAAATTAAATATATGTATGTACGTAAAAATATATATATATATATATATATATATATATATATATATATATATATATATATATATATATATATATATATATATATATATATATATATATATATAAATTTATTAAGTGCTGTATATATCTATTGCTAACGCATAATATTTTGAACAAAAGTTTAATTTCAAAATAATATTTTCTTTCAATGCATGAGGAAGTATCAGTGAAGATTTTACATTATTATTGTAAATATATTTAAGATGATAAATACCAAGTATGGATAATAGAGACCATGCAGCTCAACACCCTAAAGCCTATGCTTAATACTAACCCTTTAATTGAACATGCTGGCTTGGGCTGTAGCCTCCAGGATTTTCCATCTGTGGATCTGTCTAAGGGTTGTCTCCAGGGGCAAAGTGCATCGCCCTGGATCATAAGGGCCATGCCAACAATATGTAAATTTGTTAACTTGAATCATTGTCTAAATTGCATGCATTATACGTACAAATTTTAACATGTAAAAAAGACTGGGACAACCCTGGAAGCAGAGAAGCTGTGCAACCTCGTGTTCTGTGAGTGGGGATGTTTCTCAGTTGTTTGTAACTCCTCAAGAGTCTGCCACTTTTGTTATTAGATTTTGCATTGGTATCATGTGGGCTTATTTTCTGAATATTACAAAATCTTGTTTGGTATTGATTAAAGGCTGATATAGTCTGCTAACCTCTACAGTGTATTGATATTTGGTTGTTTGTTTGTCATGTGGTTTTATCAGTAACACTTGATTCGATTTTGTTGCTGCTCAGTGCTTAAATGATTGATTGGATTTGTGTATGTACTAATGATATGAACGAGAAAAATTATTAAACACTGAAAATGCGTTTGAGGGGTGTCTGCTACCTGCAAAAAAAAAAAAAAAAAAAAAAAGAATTGGCTATACCCAATTGGATTATACACATGTCTTCACCTCAAAGAAATGAAGGAACAGGGAGAATCTCATACAACACTTACCTTACCCTATTCCTTAACCTTAACCACAATTTTTTTCTGTTAGCTATATGAATATCAATTTATTTCCCTTATTTCCTTTACTAATTAGTTAACACAGTTAATTGCATGTTCATAGAGTAGCATGTAGAGCTGCACATGATGGTAGACTAAATTTTATGTATAATTTTTGGTGTATTGGCTCAAGCTCCATTGATGACATTCTTATTAAAACAGACACCGACTAATTTACTGGTGTTCAGAAATTATTATAACTTCGGAATATTTATGCAATATTATTGTGCTTAATTATAATTTTATTTTGCTGTAATAGCACAATATAGCAGAAAATGCAATGTATTTTCTTAATTACTACCTATGTAGATTGAATCTGGTCTCATTGTGTGGCATCTTAGTAACATACTTTGTTAGAAATATAGTAGTAGTGAATTGTAGTTTTTTCTGAAACCTGCGCTTCAGTCACTTATATTATATCTATGACTAAGTAATTATGACACTCGGGTGCCACTCAGGAAACCTGAGATCAAATATCCAAGGTGACTATTGGGGAAATATTGTATGTACAATATAAAGTAATAACTAAATTAACAGTGTAATGTTACACTGGGAAACTAAAATAAAACTGCATTGGAAAAGAAAAGAAAAGGTGAGAGAATTTCTTTTTTTTTTTTTTCATTACTGGGACCCTAATCATCAAAAGGGTGTCTCAAATAGTTATATTAACAAATATGAAATATATATATATATATATATATATATATATATATATATATATATATATATATATATATATATATATATATATATATATGTCGTACCTAATAGCCAGAACGCACTTCTCAGCCTACTATGCAAGGCCCGATTTGCCTAATAAGCCAAGTTTTCATGAATTAATGATTTTTCGACCACCTAACCTACCTAACCTAACCTAACCTAACTTTTTCGGCTACCTAACCAAACCTAACCTATAAAGATAGGTTAGGTTAGGTTAGGTAGGGTTGGTTAGGTTCGGTCATATATCTACGTTAATTTTAACTCCAATAATTTATTTTTTACCTCATACGTAATGAAATGGGTAGCTTTATCATTTCCTAAGAAAAAAATTAGAGAAAATATATTAATTCAGGAAAACTTGGCTTATTAGGCAAATCGGGCCTTGCATAGTAGGCTGAGAAGCGCGTTCTGGCTATTAGGTACGACATATATATATATATATATATATATATATATATATATATATATATATATATATATATATATATATATGTATATATATATATATATGTATATATATATATATATATATATATATATATATATATATATATATATATATATATATATATATATATATATATATATATACATATATGTTTTATTTAAACTTTGTTACAAAAAAGGAGTTACAGAACTTTGTTACAATATATATATATATATATATATATATATAATAATATGATAGTGTCAGACCACGGAGGAAGAATTGAAATAGGAATTTCCTTAAGTACTTTCGTATATAATTAATACATCTTCAGAAGGGTACTATTAACATCTTCAGACCCTTCTGTAGATGTTTTATTAAATATGAAAGTACCTAAGGAAATTCCTGTTTCAATTCTTCCTCCGTGGTCTGACACTCACATTTTTCATCACGTTAATTTTCGTGATTTACACACATACACACACAACACACACAGACAACACACACATACTGTATGTGTATGTATGTATGTATGTATGTATGTGTATATATATATATATATATATATATATATATATATATATATATATATATATATATATATATATATATATATATATATATATATATATACACAAACACACACACATAAATATTATATGTGTGTGTGTGTGTGTAAATCACGAAAATTAACACGTGATGAAAAATGTGAGTGTCAGACCACGGAGGAAGAATTGAAACAGGAATTTCCTTAAGTACTTTCGTATATTAATACATCTTCAGAAGGAATAGGAATGAGAATCCATTCCTATTCCTTCTGAAGATGTATTAATACGAAAGTACTTAAGGAAATTGTTGTTTCAATTCTTCCTCCATGAAATAAATATATATATATATATATATATATATATATATATATATATATATATATATATATATATATATATATATATATATATATAATATAAATTCATTTAAATTTCTGAGAATAATTTTGATGAAGTATGAGTCTCAATACACAAAATTTACTCTAAGTTGTTCTTTCCTGTATACATTCCCATGAACTTGACCTTCCATGAATAATCCTGTTAACCCCCTCTACTCTGACACATCCTCTTCCATCTTCCCTTGGCCGGTGGGAAGGTTTTGAAATGCAGTTTTTCATATGAAATGGTAGACTTTGGTAATATATTTACCTAAACTAACACGGGTGTAAATATTAGTGGCGTATCCTCTCCCATCCTAACCTTTCCTAACATTCAAACCTAGCAAAGTTTGTGGGAATAGCAGCTATGGGAATAGAACTATTATTTTTAATTTATTTCCTTTTTCTTTCTTTCTTTGGGATTGCATGTGTAGTAATTGCTTGATATTATATTAGATTTCTTAGAAATATTTTTTCTTATATTTGCTGTAATTTGTTTGTGATATATATGAAATATAATTTAATTATGAAATAAAGATTTTAGAATGGGCAATTTTAGTTCATGAAATACTGTATAAATAACAAAGTTCATCATTGCTCTTAATGAAGCCCAGTGCCAAAATTTTGAAGAGGTAAAAAACAAGTTTCAAGTGTTATAGGCATTCTGTTTTTTTCTTGATTATTAGAAGAAAATAGTAATTATAATACTTGAGACATTTATAACACTTGTTGAACATTTAATCTGACAATGTGTATGATCTTGGCAGTACCACCACGTTGGATTGTGGAGCCCACAGATAAGGCATTTGCTCTGGGAAGTGATGCCAGGTTAGAATGTAAAGCTGATGGATTTCCTAGACCTTCTCTTGGATGGAAGAAAGCTGCAGGTATGACTGACTTAAATGTTAACAAATAATGGGATTTACAGTGCCTTGTCTTAGACCCCATTTCAACTCCATTATTTTTGCAAATACTGTATAAATTAGAAGGGGAAAAATCCTCCTAAGATTTTTCCCATCAGTTAAATATTTGTTATGTAGATATATTGTTGAAGAGTTACATTGTATGCCTAATGCTAAGTAATTTTTATAGATTGCAGTAATGTATATCAAATTTAGGAATATTTAACCATGTGTTTAGATTAATATTATACCATTTATTGCTTAGATGATAGCTAGTGATACAGTATTTAATTTTCAACCAGGTCGTACTCCTGGAGATTATCGTGACCTTGGTGTTAGTAATCCCAATGTGAAGGTGACTGATGATGGCACACTGCAGATTGGCAACATTCAAAAGTCTCATGAAGGATACTACTTGTGTGAAGCCAACAACGGAATTGGTGCTGGTCTTTCAACAGTTATCTACGTAAGGGTCCAAGGTCAGTAGAAGTTAATTTGTTAATTTTTATTATACCCCTGCCCCTCCAAAATTTTGTAAAGGCTTCCCTTAGATTTTGTTTAGGAATTAATAATAAAACTAGTATTTTAACCTATAAAAGCTAATTTTAAATATTGTAAAGCTTAGTTCTCTGGATGTTCCTTACTTGCAAGGGTGGCCTACAAAAGATTCACCATACATTACACAAATTTTACATACCAGTTTTATATGCTTTAAAACATAAATTGTTATTTGTTTTCAATGAGCAGCATGAATGTTTGGAAAGGTTAAGAGCACCTCATTAAGAATATCGAAAGCGGCTCCCAGAAAATTATTGCTGTGGAAGAAAGGCCATCCCAAAAATGTAATGACAAATTAATGTGTAGACAAAAGAGTGACAGACGAGCTTTGCATTACAGAGAAACATTTTGTATAATTAAAAGTTTGTAATTTACGTTACTTATAGCATAGTAAGGTGCCAAATTTAACATGTGACAGATTGAGATTTGTAACCAAGATAGTAACCCAGCAGACTCTAAACATTATTAATAGTGATTCAGTGTTGAATCAGTATCACTCAAAACTCAAGTCCCTCTTGGAAAGTGTTTTAAATGTTGCACTCTGCAGATTACTATTGTGAGTAATAAATTCATTTAATCATTTAGTAGCTCAATCAACAAATAATGGAAAATAGATGTAGTCTGACACCCAAGAACCTCCTGTCTCCTCCCAATCCTTTAGCTGGTACTGAAGTATATACATATAACAACGATAGAACAAATTATAAAATAAAGAGGTAAAGATGTGGGAAATACACACTCATGAGAAAATATAAAAATATACTGTAAAAAAAAGGCTCCAAGTATAGATGAAAAATCACCTGACTGAGCAAGATACTTGGTCTCTTCCCTGTGCAAGTGTCCATCTCTCCAGTGAGCATAACTAAATTTCATCCTAATCATTGTTACATTCATATCTTTGACAAAGGGGAGATCTTTTCAAGCTGCATTCACTAAGCCATGAATGGAGGAAGGGAGAAGCTGGAGAATTCTCAGTCAAGCCCATAATGAACACTGGAAGCCAAATATTGATCTGCTAAACTGATAGTTAACTTCCTGCCAGCTTAGTCCAAATGTCAAAACTAATGCTGTCAACAGAGGCACCTGGGGAATTTCAATTTCATCTCGGCTCATTCCTATAGAGGCACATTGTAAGTCATGAGAACAGGTAAAGAAAATATGAGAGTGCTCAAAGACTTTAACCAAGTTGAAGAGTGGAGTCAGAAGGGGCCAGAGTGGTCATAGATACTCCAGTATTAAAGTTTCAAGCATCTTGCCTGAAAAATTGAACCAATAATGACACACCAGAAGAGTTTAGGCTTGGAAACAGTAGTCATCTAAAGAATAATATAGAAGTTGCAATAATGCAGTACCATGTACAAGTGTAGCCAGATGTAGATCAGTTGGTGGATGAAAGAGTAGTCCCATTACATTTTCCTCTGTAACAGTTCCATAAGTAACAGATATCAACTAATCTGCTACTTAATTAAATGAAGGTTGACGCCTCTCTAAAACATGATTTTTTAAATGTTTTGTTGAAGAACTTATAAAATTGCTGTCATTGTATCCAACCCATCCACCTGTTTAGACAGAACTCTTTGTAACTATGTGGGCCATCGTGCATATGTACATACATGTAATAGACAATTAGATAGTTGAATTTGGTACTATTCACTTTATAGAGTCCAGAGAAAATTAAGCAAAAAACCAAACGTAAATATTCTTAGGCCTAGTATAGCCCATATATATACTATTATGCCTAGGAAGGTTAGGTTAGGTGAAGTTTGCAACATCAGTACCAAACCTTTTCTGGTTTGCTCAAATTCATTGGTACCAATTTCTACTTTCTAATTGCTTTTTACGTCAATATACTGTATGTACAATGGTCCTCATCATTACCATAAATACTACTTAAACAGGAGGATGGGCTGTTGTATCACGTTCAATATCATCACTGTTGACTACAGGTTAAGGATTTGTTTGGAAGTGTTTCATTAATTAACATGTATAAATTTGCATAAGCTCTTATTCTGATGCGCATATCTTTTAAGCTTGTATTAAGATATTAAATATTAAGCTTGGTAAGATATTAATTGGAAAATAAGCTTTCTCAGAAACATATGTGGAGGAATATGCATAAGATTGTGAAAATTGATGTTAAAGATACAAAATTAGTATATGAACTCAAAATCTAAATAAAAGACATAATGTCATATAAAAACTGAATCTCTCCCATATCTATTTTACTTAGTATAGAAATTTAATAAGCAAAATTTACTTAATCTACAGTATATAGTTTTCCAAAATTGGAAAATTAATTTTTATTTACCTATGCAGCTCCACCTCAGTTCAAGATTCAGTACAGAAATCAGACTGCAAGCCGAGGAGATGATGCTGTACTTGAGTGCGAGGCTGAAGGCGAAACTCCCATTGGTATTCTGTGGAGCAAGAACAAACACAGCATTGAACCATCCAATGAACCAAGGTAATTTACACACACACACACACACACACACACACACACACACATACATACATACATACACATATTTTATTTATTTATTTATTTATTTATTTATTTATTTATTGCGTGAACTGTCCCAGTTCATTCCCATGTCCACAGAATAGACGATCGATGCCGACTCGTTCCGTTGGCTCTTCCAGACGTTCGGGCCTCCGGAAGTGGATCTCTTTCTGTCAGAGTGGTCAAGGTGTCTCCCGGTATACGTGGTTACCTATACCTCTTTCCCTCCAGTTCAGCTGTTGCTCCAAGTCCTGGCTCACTTGGAGATTTACCAGGGAAGAGTAGTCCTCTTGGCCTCTTGGTGGCCAGCTCAGCCTTGGTTTCAGGTGCTGCTTGCTCAGTGTTCGAACCCGGGGGTCTTCCCGTGGCTCCGCCTCTTTCACGAGATCGGTCCTGCCCATTATGAGACTGGTTCGCTCTTCTCCTTGAGTCTTCATGTCTAGTCTTTCTGACTCGAGTTTATCAATATTTGTATGGGGCGTAGGTGGCTTTGTTACTGGTCTTCCATCTGCATGCTTCGTCTCAGCGGCAGTATGTTTCCTGGTGGTCCTTCCAGTTTTTCCTATCACTGCGTAGGTGTACTTCGGTCTCTAATAGGGTTGTTTTGTCCTTCCTGTCGTGGTTGTTTCAGGATCGTCATTTTATGCCGAATACTGTCGCCTCCTATCGTGCGGCACTGGTGTAGTCGCACCAGCTTGCGTTCGGTATTGATGTTACGTCTGCTCCGTTGTTTCACCTCTGGCCTGCTCATGCGTTGCCTGAGCCCTCCTGGTCCTTGGACCGGATGCTCTCTTTCCTCTCTTCTCCTCGGTTTGTGGTGACCCCCTTCGGTTCAGGATTGTTTTTCCAAGGCTCTTTTTCCTGTTGGCATTGGCCTCTGGGGGTCGGGTCGGGTCAGGGAGCTTCACACCTTTTTATGTTTTTTAATTAAATCCATACTAAATTTAAAATTTTTAAACTGTTTTGAATTAAAAATATGAAAGAAAATCTGGAGGCAATAGTGCACAAAATGGTTATAGCCACGCTACAGTGCATTATGATCTCAATTTTACCCTGTGTATAAGTGGTGGGTATTAAATCCTACCATATAGAACTGAGAGTCATCTGTATCATTTTTTATCAAATTTACTGTGCAGGATTAGAGTTCTGAACACAACATTTATTTATATAAGTACCAGATTTGTATGTGAAGAAGATATCCTAATTGTTATAGATGTTTCTTCTTATTACACTATAATGGAATATCTGAAAGCTATGGAGGTTTGTTGTTTACACATATGTGATCTGTATATATAAGGACTTGTTTTATCTAGGTACACAATTCGTGAAGAAATGCGAGGTGGTGGTGTTCACAGCAGCCTCAGCATTAAGACAACCGATCGATCAGACTCTGCTGTGTATACCTGTGTGGCAACTAATGCTTTTGGAAGTGCTGATACCAACATCAATCTTATCATTCAAGGTATGGATAATTTTTGATATGTTGAAATATATAAATTTGGTGATTTTATTGTATGTGAGTATTTAAGATTATTTATTTAGTCACTTTTCTGTAATATTACTTACTAGTTATGTATGCATCAGATTTGCGGATGATAAAATGTAGTGTAAATTATGATATACTGTTCTTGAATTAATAATTTTTTTCAATTGCAGTACACTAGAATATATCACTTGACATAGGCAGTGTTTAGAGGTGCACAGCTGCTAGGCAATAGCTGCTCTTAGTGTAGATTTCTGTCCTCATTAATGAACAAGGAATGTGCAAGGAATACAATTATTTTCAATGTTAATTTTTAATATTGAGATTACCAACATAATAATTAGGAATAATAGTTGATTATTATCATAACGTGTTCTTAGTTTTAAATACTTGAACATTCCATATGCAGTACTAATTCAAGTTCCTATAAAATCCACAGAACATCCAGAACAGCCTAACAGTTTAAAGGTTTTGGATAAGAGTGGTCGCTCTGTGGAGCTTTCCTGGACGCCTCCCTATAATGGAAATTCTCCCATCACTCGTTACATTGTAGAATATAAGCTTAGCCGCCGTAAGTATCAAGATGGTTCTTATCAATGTTAATAGTTATTAAATCTGTAGATGACTTAAAATGTTAAATACAATTACATATAAAAGAGAAATATTTATCATAATGAATGAGAAATATACGCATGTATATATTTCTCATGTGTATACAAGGAAATAAGAAATATTTCCTTCAATATTGTACACCTAACCTTTGTTGGACTAGAATATTTTTTTCGGTAAGTAATCGTGTACATTTCCCAGAGTTTTATTTTTAAGCATTTGATGTACTTTATTTTTGTTAAATACTGTACTGAGAGGCTTCTTCATAAGTTAATATTTTGGCACATATCTGTATATTTTGAAATATCTGCAGGAAACTGGGATTCTGATGGTGAACGCATGATGGTGCCTGGTGACCAAAACATGGCTGCTGTGTTAGATCTTCGCCCAGCTACAACATACCATCTTCGCATTGTTGCAAGAAATGAGATTGGCGACTCTGATCCTTCTGACACTGTTACAATCATTACTGCTGAGGAAGGTGAGATATGGTCTGTTTTGCAGTGAACACACATTATCATTATCCTATTTTCAACATTCATGAGGTGAGAATTTCCTGTCCTTTATAGCAGGTGATACTTTTGTTTCTTTTCTCCTCCTGGGGATTATTGAACAATATTTCAGGAACTCCTCACTGTATTGACTTGAAAATTAAATTACCGTACTTAAATTTGAGCCTTCAAGTATGGATGATATTGAAATTCAGCAAAGATTAACAGCATATTATTATAATAAGAATAACAGCTTATTTGGCTTTGTTTCCATATAATATCTTTAAAATCCTCATTATGTTGACTTCAAGCTCAAGCTATACTATATTAAAACTAACATGTCTTTCATAATTGGGCAGTGTAACCTAATAGTTACCTTAACTCGAGTTAGTTCTGAGAATCACCATCTGTCACCGGGTATCTGATTAGGCCCGCTGGTTGGCAGTTTGGTTAACTCGGCTTTTGGACACTCCTACATGCAATCTGATGTAGAAAATACCTCCTAGGTGATGGTACCCTTTAGAGATGTTAATTAAGTTCCCTTATGGATTAAGAAAGAGGTCAGTTAGTTATGCTCCTTATATTTAAAGCGAGGGTGTTGAACAGCCTTGGATCTTTAATATTTATAAAACTGTCTCCTAAGAGTGCATATTACTCCCCTAGTTTTCAATGGGACTATTTTGCATTTGGTTATGTTTCATGGAATCTTAAGGAAATGTTTCGTTGAGCAGATTTTGAATGAGCTCCTCTAATATTTTTCATCTGCAATATATTATGAATCATTCCTTCCTGTGCTGCAGGGTGATACCTGTCTGACCCTAGTGCATTTGTTGAACCTAGGTTCACCAGTTGTCTCTACCTTCTCTTCAGCAATTACTATTCTATGTAACTTGTGGTTGTCCATCATCTCATACCTATAGTCTCCACCCTGGTTCTGTTTTATAGACCACAACTTGTACTGTACTCATAATATTCATAGTACTGTACTGTATAATTTTTTCACTCCTATGTTCATATCCTGAAATATGCAATTCCAAGAATACCTCTCTTAATTGGCTATAATTAAAACATATCTAGTTATTACCATGTAATCACTTCTCATGATTCAACACTATCCTTTCTGGGGAAGCCCCCATGGTGGCTTCCTGTAGTTATCTCACCAAGATTGCTCTAATCTACCAGTCACATCAGTTGCACAAGTTCACCAGGAGCCAAAACCTAGTCTCATGAATTGAAAGTAATGAAAAAGGCATTTCATTACTTTCAATGCTGGGTTTTACTAGTTCAGTATTGTCATTATTATTATTTAGTTATTTATAATGCATCATATAGTTTTATGGTGGTTCTAGTGTCACTTTCAAATTCCTATATACAACATGTCATGGTGAAGATATATTACTGTTCACCCAACCCATACACATGAAATTAAATGAAAGTGATGATGCTTTAGTCCATTCTAGACTCTCATCAAGTCATGACAAAAAGAAGAGTGGGAGAGTCGCCTTTCATTTCATTTCATATGTGCAGGTTAGATTATTTTTTTCTGCCACATTATTGTGACTTATTCTCTGTTCATGTATTATGTTTATTTGTAATTTCTGCAGCTCCCAGTGGTCCTCCTCGTGACCTCAAGGTTGAGGCTGTAGATCAGAGTTCTCTGCGAGTCACATGGAAGCCACCTCTGAAGGAGGAGTGGAACGGTGATATTCAGGGTTACCAAGTAGGCTATCGGCTTGCATCATCTAACAATTCTTACGTTTATGAGACTGTTGAATTTAGCAAAGAAATGGGCAAGGAACATCATCTCGTCATTTCTAAGCTTAAGTAAGATTTGCTTATATTATTTTTAGTTAGATTTTAATTCTTTGATCATTTTTGGAAAATTAATTTTCATTTTTGATAAATACAGGATTAGTAATTAATGTGCAATTAATTATTAATAAAAAATTGATAATTTAAAAAAAATGAACTGTTAATTCAAATACAGTACTGATTTTTTTTGCAAATTTTGATTTGTTCCTCTATTTTTTACACTTTTCATCTAATAATGCATCTAATATTTTGTTTTCTTAAAGATTAAAATTAAATGCAAACGCTTTCATCTACTAACAGATTGATTCTTTTGTAGTGTCTACACTGAATATGCTGTGGTTGTATCTGCTTTCAACAAAATTGGACAGGGACCAAAAACTGATGAAATTCGAGCTTACACTGCCGAAGGCACACCCCAACAGCCCCCCCAGGATGTAACTTGCACTACCCTCACATCCCAGACCATCAGAGTATCCTGGTCCTCTCCACCACTTGAAACTGTGCAGGGAGTCATTAAGGGTTACAAAGTTATTTATGGACCCTCTGACACCTGGTATGGTAAGTTACTATTTGTAAGAATATATTAGCATACAATGAATATTTTGCCATAAATTTAGTTTTAAGGACAACAGTTCCTATTTTTTTATTTCATAAAAATAGATAGAACACCGAGTATGATTAAATATTATGTTCCAGAAGCAAGTGTTTAGTCTTAGAGATTACTTATCGTCATCTCTAGCCTTTGCCATTGTTTTCTGTGGGGAGCCCCTACGGCTCCCTGGAGCTTATCGGGCTAATGTGTGTTATGTTAGACCGGGACATTAGCTAAGGAGTTCAGACCTACCAGGGACCAGCGCCAGAACCTGGCCCCTTCAGAGAGGTTTCAGGGAGCAATGGCCCTGGAAAACCCCATATGGTTGGGGGTTTTCCTTATCTGCCATCGACCGGGGTTAGGCACCCAGAAAGGTAGGCGTAACAAAACAAACCCCACATGGTAAGAAACTACAACAAAAACCGAACAGAGAGGTAGAAAACTCCCTACAATCCCAAGGAAACAAGCAAACAAGCAAACATCACACTTTACTGCCGCGCCGATCGTCCGCGCAGCCCTCCCCACCCCGGGAGGGGGAGGGGGGAGCCCCGGACCTACCGCGCCGGCTGCCAAGCTCCAGTTCGTTCGCTAATGTCAACCGGGATTGACGCTTCTCTGGCCTCAGTTTCCTGGGCGGTGTTTGCCTTGTGTGGCGTTCACTGCCGTGTGTTGTGGTGTGCGGTGGCCAGGAGTACTTCATCAGTGCCGGGGCTGCATGTGCTTAGTGGCTGCCTTCCCTAAGCGCCCTGTGAGTACTGCCCTTGCGTTACAGGGTTATCTTCCCTGGGGCGTTCGGGAACCATTCCCGTAGAGGTTCTTGCTGCTCGGCATTTGCCTCGCCCTTGGGGCCAGCTGGGGCTTGGGGCCCTTGTTTGGCCCTGGGTAGGGATTGGTATTGTGCTGGTTAGGGCGTCAAGGTGTTGCGCAGCCTGCCACCTAAGCGGCGGCCGGTTTCTGTTGCCTCTGGAGACGGTGTACTTTTGCGGGGTTTTTCTTTTGTTTTTCATTTTCTTGCCTGGTGGGGGTCTGCCTAAGGTGGTTATAGTTCCACTGGTAGTGTTTGGCGGCCCTCTGCTAGGCCCCCGTGCTTGTACACGTCTCGAGGGGTTTTCAGTGCTATAATCTACCCTCTTGTTATGTTTGGGTTTCTAAACCGGTTAGCAACACCTTGCCCGGGCTTCCCGTAGTTGTTACCCTACGGGCCCTGGAAACCCCTGTCGGGGCTCGGGGGACCATTGACTGTGTCTTCCGGGTTCCAACCCGTCTTGTACGGGATCGTTGGTTGCTGTTCCCTTGTCTCCGGGTGACAGTCGCCATTTTTACCTCCGTCATGCTGCCTGTTGGGTCACTGACACCTTGACCCGGAGTCTTGCGAGTGATTCTCTGCTTGTTCTCCAGTACTCTCATGATGTTATTACTGTTCAGAGTACAGGCGGCATCCGTGTTGCAAGCTAGGTTAGGTTGCTGCAACATGCTAGGTTGGTTTCCCACTCGAATGCCCCGTGGCCGCCCCGTTTGGTTAGGTGCTGCTCGCCCCTTTCTCTCCATGTTCCCGGCTCCGGACCGTCTGCGTGTTTCTGGGTCGGGGCGGGGTTCAGTTGCGGCAGAGACTCGGGCGGTTTTCGGGGGATGCCCCGTTCGGGTTGGGGACGGAGGTTTGAGCCTGTGCCTCCTGCCAAGGCTTCTGGGTCTTACCAGCGGCCCTTTCTTGTTGCCTTTCCCATGGGCTCTTGCTTTTCTTTCAGGGCGGAGGGCTTGGAGGACGGCTCTGCCCCGGGGCCTCTGTTGTTGGTTCCCGGGGCTGTGGGGGATGCCTACTAGCAGTTCTGGGGCGGTTTTGCCCCTTCAGGGGTTTTTCTGCTGTTGGGCGTCGTTTTTCGCCCTTCCAGTCTGCTAGCTTCCCACATTTGCTGGCGTGTTTTTGTGTATTAAGCGTCAGTCACAGCCCCTGCTGGCGGCCATTTTCGTCTGCCGGTTTCCCGGCGTGGCCACCAGGGCGGCGTTGCGGTTTGTTTACATGCGCCTGAGTGTGCGAGCGAGCGTCTCTGGTGAGTTTTCAAAAAATTTGCAGGGTTTTTGTTCTCCTGTTGTCGTTTCTTTGTTTTTCTGGTGTTTTCTTGCCGTTGCCTGTTTCTCTGGGAACGTTTGGGTGTTGATTTGGGTCTGAGCCTCTGGGTTTAGGCTCAGTGCCCCTGGCTGGTATGCTTGCTCCCACACCTTGCCCCTCGGTTTTCGGTCTGTTGGGACCGTTTTCCCAGGGCGTTCTGCTGGGGTCTGTGCTTTGCCTTTTAGTGGTGTTCTCCGCTGGCAAATGTGGTGGTTTGGGCTCCCCCTGGTTCGATTCTGGGTTCCTTTGGGTTCCTTGGTTTCGTTCTGGAGGTTTCTTCCTCTTGGGCCCCCTTTTGTGGGTTCAGGGGACTTTGTTTCCTCATGTGACCCGGTTCTGCCTTTTGGGGTTCTGGGGTCTTCCTGGCTTGCAGACTGAGCTTTTTGGGTCTTGGCACATGTTGTGGTTGTGCTGGGACTTTGTGGTTTTGCTGTCGAGGTGGGCCTTTTGATGCAGTTTTGTGCCTTCTTTGCCTGGCCGGCGTAGTGCTCTTTGCCACTAGTCGGCGGCTTGTGCTTTTACACTATGTCCTCACCTAGTTGTGCTTGTGGGGGTTGAGCACTGGCTCCTTGGTCCTGCCTCTCAACCGTCCGTCAACAGGTGTATCGGTTCCTGTGCCTCTTGGGCTCTGTCATGTCTACATGTGACATTGTATGGGGGTCAGCCTCGTTCCTTGTGTGAGGAGTCGCCACATTACTTCTTAGTGCTTTCCCGTTCCCATTCTGACACTCACAAAAAAAAAAAAAAAAAAAAAAAAAAAAACTAATTCTATCTGTGGCTCTTTTGGGTACTCAGTTTCCACCTGTGTCCCCTAGTGCGTGTGCCCCTTGTGTTACATAGCCTGTCCTTCTCAACCCTGTCGATTCCCTTGGGTATCTTGTATGTGGTGATCAGGTCTCCCCTCACTTCCTCTTCCAGCGAAGTGTGGTTTCTTTCCCGTAGTCTCTCCTCATGACTTCGGTAGTGTACTTTTTCTTTCTGAAGGGGTTCTGTTCCCTTCTCTGTTGACTGGGCGCTGGGGGAGCAGCTTGCTCTGTTGCCTCTCGCTTGGTCCCGCTGTTGGTGGGCGCTTTGGGTTGTCTTCCGGCCTCTGCTGGCGTCGGAGGACGGCTTCTCCCCCTTGGGGGGGGTTCAGAGCTGGCGGGGTGGGCTTCTTCCCTGCGCTTCGTCATTTCCTCTTCGTGGGTGCGTGGGGCGTGGTCGATCCGCCCCATCCTTCTGGGCTTCCCGTCTGCTCTTTGCAGTCATGAGCTTTTCCCGTCTGCTCTTTGCAGTCATGAGTTTTTCCAGTCTGCAGTTCTTCTGGACTACTTCCGTCTGCGCCCTGGATCCTCTCCCCTGCTCGGAGGACTGTTGTCTCCTGTTCGGATTCTGTTAGGGCCGGGTGCATGGATGGTGGACCTGGACCTCCAGGTCACTTCTTGGCACGTTCCTCTCCAGTTTTTCTGGGGCTAGCACGGTTGGTAATTCCCTATGTGTACTTACCTCAGTGTAGCTACTCTCGTGGTGTCCCGTCTTCCCGGCACTCTGTCATATAATGCCTTGATTATACTTGTCATATTGTCATATAATGATTGTCATATGTCATAATATGTCTTCATATGGTTGTCATACAATGCTTTGGTGGTGGGGCTTCAGGTTTGCTGTTTTTATTGCATTCCCTATTTTGTGAAGGGCACTTTGTATACTCTTTGCATCTTTACCGGATCTTAGTGCCCTGTCTGCGTCTGAGATTCGGTGTCTGGCCTACCTCGACGACTGGCTGGAGTGGGCTCCCAGTCAGTCCGCTCGTCTGCTCGCCAGGGGATGGTTCTTTCCAGATCGCTGGGTTTGGTTTCCTGGTGATCTGGAGGTTTTACCTTCTGTTTCCGTCCCGGGTTCGGACCTGGGCCTTGTTTCAGGCTCTTGGGCCCCTCATTGTCTTCCCTCCAGAAGTGTTGCTGTGGCTGTGGTCCCGCCTTTGGCTGTTCAGGAGGGGGTCCCGGGTTGCTCAGCGGTTGCTTGGGCGGTTGTGCGGGAGTTTGCACTTCGGCGTGCTTATCTGCCCGCGGAGTCGGGTTTGACTCCGGCGTCGGTTGGTTCCTACGGAGACTCCACTTCCGCCTCTTGCATTCCTTGGGTTCCTCTGGGGATCTGGTGTTGGTGCTGCGTCACCAGCTTCCTCTTTGGGGTTTTCGGGGTTCCGTACCTTGGCGGCTCCCCGAGCCTTCGCTCGATGTGTTCACGGACGGGTCGTCTCTCGGCTGGGGCTTTGTGACCAGTGCTCACCAGGTCGGCCGAGGTTGATGGAGTCTGTCTGTCCATCGGGCTCACAGCCCGGTTCAGGTGTTCATGGCTGTCTGGTTTGCGCTTCGGAGGGTTTGGGTCACTAGGTACTCTCCCATTCAGCTCTGTTTAGACTGTTCTCTGGTGGTTCTTGCCGGAACCACAGGGGGTTTGGTTAACCGTGTGGTTCGTGTCCGGGGTGTGTCCTGCATCCTGGTGGACAGCTGTCTCGGTTCATTCCTCTTCGTGGGTTGGCCAGTCGTCGCCGATTCGTTTTGTTGGCTCTGTTGGGCTTATGGACTCCTGGCCATGGACGTCTTCGGGTCGGCGTGGTCTAGGCGTCGCCCGTTTTGTGGCGCCCTTCCCACCTGCGAGGACTTCACGGTGGAGGCTTTCGGCAGGCCTGGTCGAGGTGGGGGGTACCGGTACCTCTTCTCCCGGTCCAGCTGTTGCTTCGGGTTCTGGCTCAGTTGCAGCCCATTCCCACGAGAACAGTCCTTATGGTTCCACTGTGGCCGGCCCGGCCTTCTTTTCAGACGCTGCTTGATAGGTGTCCGTACCCGGGGCGTTTTTCCTGAGGCTTCGCCTCTTTCAGCAGGCCGAATCGGTCCTGTCCGTGACTGGTTCGGCCTTCTCTTTGGCTCTTCGCGTCTGGTATTTTGACGCAGGTATCGCCATCTCTATGGTGTTCAGGTGGCTTTGTTGACGGTGTCCCACCTGCGAGCTTCGTCTTGGAGACTGTATGACGTTTCTTACGTCTTCTCGCGTTTTGTTTCCCCCCCGGCCTGCTCATGAGTCGCCTGAGCCATCCTGGTCCTTGTTCAGGGTGCCTTCTCTTCCCCTCAGTTTGTGGTAGCCCCTTCGGTTTTAGTTTCCTCCTCTTTGGTACTGGTGGTAGCTTTATTGGTGTGCAGCCTTTCTCTGTCCTGGCGACGGTCGAGACGGCTGCTTTCCGGAGGGGTTCTTGGGGTATTAGTACTTGTTTGGTTTGGCCGGGGGGTGCGTCCTGTGTTCTCCCGGGTCGTCCGCAGTGTTTTCCTTCTTACTGCGGTCTGTCTTTGCGCCCGTGCTGTTCAGACGTTTGCAGCAATTGCTGCTGTGTTGGTGACGTCTCGGGCTCATTTCGGGCGCAGGGAATTGTGGGTCGCACAGGTTTTTGGCCGCCCATCCATGTGTGCGTCTGTTCTTGGGCGTTCTTGTTGCCTTGGGTCGCAGGTTTGCGACAGGTTGTCTTGGCTTTGCGTTGCAGAGTTTGTGGCGGCCGCCTCCCGGGTTAGCCCTTTCTTTTCCTTCTCTTTGGGTATGAAGCTCCAGGGAGCCGTAGGGGCTCCCCACAGAAAACCAGCGTTGAATGTAATGAAACGCCATTTTCTGGGTGAGCCCCGGAGGCTCCCTGGAAACCCTCCCTCCCACCGGTCGGCGGTTTTTTCGCGTTGGTTGAAGCTTAGCTTCCGAACTGGAGCTTGGCAGCCGGCGCGGTAGGTCCGGGGCTCCCCCCTCCCCCTCCCGGGGTGGGGAGGGCTGCGCGGACGATCGGCGCGGCAGTAAAGTGTGATGTTTGCTTGTTTGCTTGTTTCCTTGGGATTGTAGGGAGTTTTCTACCTCTCTGTTCGGTTTTTGTTGTAGTTTCTTACCATGTGGGGTTTGTTTTGTTACGCCTACCTTTCTGGGTGCCTAACCCCGGTCGATGGCAGATAAGGAAAACCCCCAACCATATGGGGTTTTCCAGGGCCATTGCTCCCTGAAACCTCTCTGAAGGGGCCAGGTTCTGGCGCTGGTCCCTGGTAGGTCTGAACTCCTTAGCTAATGTCCCGGTCTAACATAACACACATTAGCCCGATAAGCTCCAGGGAGCCTCCGGGGCTCACCCAGAAAATGGCGTTTCATTACATTCAACGCTGGTTTTTTGCTTAGGAAGAAAACTCTACCTTCCAGAGAGGTCCGTTGTTGGTCACCCTTAGTTTGTCCTGCTGGGAGTTTCCCATACTTTGTGCCCTGTGACCGTTGTGTGCTGTTATTTGTATACTATTCACACTTTTTTGTGAGGATGCCTTGGATCTTTATAAGTGCAAGAGCACACTGATAAATTTCATATATTTCTGTTATTTTCTTTAGATTTGTAGGGATTTTGGATGATTTTAGGTGTAATTTTGTTAAGCACTTATGAAAAACAAAATGACCTAGTAGAAAACAGAATGTAAAAATAAGCAAAAATATTTTTTCTATGGAGTAGAGTACAGTAACTGTTATCACTTTAAAGGTTACATCATCAGTTATCATGGTTTCATTCATTTGTCAAAAACAATCAAGCAAAATTAAATTATGTTTTAAATTAGTGTATAATTGTTATGTATAATATTGTCTGAAGTAACTATAAAAAACTTCTATCATTTCAGAGCCATGTTTTTGTTCTTTGAATCAGTATTTAAAATCTACTATATTTTTAAAGCAGTTAAATTGAATTTGTTTCCAGATGAAGAAAGCAAAGACACCAAGATCACTGGGTCCACAGAAACTCACCTTCATGGTCTTCAGAAGTACACTAACTACAGCCTCCAGGTCCTAGCCTTCACATCAGGTGGTGAAGGAGTTCGCTCACAGCCAATTCACTGTCAGACTGATCAAGACAGTAAGTATTATGTTCAATGTGTTCCCTTTACTAAGAAGCCTGTGACCATGTACTCTCTCAGGTAATTGACTGAAATGGCATTCAAAAGGAATGTTGTATGTAGTCTTCTTGTAAAACCATCTAGGACATGATGTAGCCTGAATCCCTGAACACAAACATGAAAATTACTGGAGTTATATTGTGGATAATGCCTAGACTGTGGATAATGCCTTTTAGAGAATAATATTACATTAATTAAAACTTTGTTAATAAGTTCTTAATTAGAAGATTTATATGATTTATAGGTATCTTCATTTTAAGAAATTCCATGTATTTACCTGATACCTACCACCTGTTGTGGATGCTTTTGCTACTAGAGCTGAGGAATGTGGCCTCCTTATCTCTGTACAGAAAACTCGTGCCCACATTCCGTATGGTATTCCACCAGCCAATTATCATATAGATGGGCGAGCACTTGAGAACTGCGAGTCGTACAGATACCTTGGTGTCCCCATTAACGACCCGGGGTACCTTTCTTCCCTCAAGAGGAGATTGTGGGAAAGATTAAAGCCCTTGCGGGTCCTTGTTGGTGTCAATCATGGAATTAACGTGAGACTTGCTAGAATGTTTTATGTATCATTTATACACTCTGTGATTGACTACAATGCTCTACATCTCACACTGTATACAGACAAAGAGCTGAAATCTCTTGAAACCTTGCAAAATGAAGCTATACGTCTCATCCTTGGGGCTCTAAAGTCCACAAGAATAGTTAATATGAGAGCAGAGTTAAAATTACCTACTATAAGTGAGAGAATTTTGTCTATTAGCACAGTTTTCAGCGTTAAGGCATTGAGTAGATCTCGGCAACACATGAAGTTCCAAGCTATACTTTCTAATATGCTACACTCACCTGAGGTCTATAGAAGAAGAACGAAATCTGATTATGCATTTTGGTTCTACAAGGTAACCAACTCCATCAAAATATTAAATATGTACCCAACTCAATTAATGATTAATCAACCCATTCCTCCATGGGATAACTGGGATCTATCAGTTGATTTTGTAAATGCGCCCAAGAAAGATAGTGTGCACTCTACACTCTTTTACAGTTAACACTGAAAAGCATCACTGAGAGTACTCAGGGTATGGGTAACGATGTGTATCAGTGCTATACCGACAGTTCTGTAGAAGAAGGTGGACGATGTAGTGGATGCGCATGTAATATTTTTGAACAATCTTCTCTCGTACATACAGCAATGAAGCGCGTCAATGACTGGGCAAGTACAACTCAGACCGAACTTGCAGGCATATACCTTGCCACTGAATTTTTAAAGGACAAGGATAATTTTTAAAGGATAAGGCAGTGGACTTATATACTGTGACTCGCAGAGTGCACTCCTGGCAGTGAACGCACATAGTAGTAACACCCAGAAAATAGTCAGTGATATTCGAATGAATGTTTTAGCTGCTAAAGAAAACAGATTTGAAATTAAATTCCTATGGATACCATCACATGTTGGCATCTCAAGGCATGACACTGTTGAAATGCTGTAGAAGACAGCCTGTAGAAAACCAATAGTAGAAATTGATATGGGTGTTTCATTAGCAGTGACAAAGAGAATACTTAAACAAATATCTAATGAAGATCTCACCGACCTAACAAATTCACAAAGACCTGAAAGTTGTAGCATTAAATATTATGATAGATATCGTGAGGAGACATTCACATATGGGACTAATGGAGCAAGAACTCGGCAATGTGATGTTATAGTGGCCAGAATACGTCTGGGATATAGACGTATCTGGCAGCTTTCTCAAAACCCAAATGTTGAGTACACAATGTGTCAACTTTGTGAAAGAGAAAACATACACTCACTTGAACATTATATTGTAGAATGTCCCATATTGACTGACTTTTGCCCTCCTGGGCTGAGGTATGCTGAACTCTGTAACTACTACATGAGTACTGGAACACTTGATGATATATTGGACTTGTACCCTAGATTGACCCATGTAATGTGTCACTTATACAATGTATGTATGTGATGTAACTATATAACCTGAGCTTGTAAAAGCACCTTAATCACCTTCAGTGATTAAGTGCTTAATTTCACACTAGTTTCTCTATCAGCTATCTCACCCTGTCAGAGTAAAAGAGACAAATGTATGTGTATGCATGTGTGTGTGTATATATGTATGTATATGTATGTGTATAAAGTATATGTGAAAACTGATCAGAATTACATTTCACCTTTGTAAATGCACATTAATGACACTATGTAAAAGACACATCGAACACTTTTACGTAGGGCATACGTAAATCTGTGTATCTATGTATTTACGTATGCAGGTTAGCTTAGCATTTTAAAAGCACCAAATCACCTTCTGTGGTTGATTGTTCAATAAATCCCTGAAGTATATGTTTAACAAATTTCTAACCCTGTCCATGGAGGACAGAAGAAAATGTATATATGTTGGTTAGCATTGTATATGTGTGGCCACGTCTGTGGTAGAAAAAAAAAAACTGTTGTGGAAAATAACAAAAATAAATATCTTTCAGTTCCTGAATCACCTACATCTGTCAAGGCTTTGGTTATGTCTGCTGATTCAATCCTGGTATCTTGGCTACCACCTGAGCGCCCCAATGGAATCATTACTCAGTACACTGTTTATTACAAAGAGCATGGCAAGAGTGATGTTGAGGTGAGTTTTTTGTAATAAAAAAAATGTTTTTTGCACATATAGAATTGGCAGCATAAAGACATTCTGGCTATTAGGTATGGCATATAATATATAATATGTATTTACAGAGGACCACTTGCTTTGTGAACCCCTTGGGGATGAGATCCGTTGGTTACCGTGTAAGTTCGTATACGAGAAATGTAGGAAAAATTAAACGAGAAATGTAGGAAAAAATAATAAACGAGAAATGTAGGCAAAAAACATCTAGGGGAAAAAGTTGACAGGTTCATAGTATATATGTGACAGTATTTTGTTCATACTCACCAATAAGAGAAGTCGATCCACTTGTTATGTTGATGATTATTGTTGATGGAATATAGTTATTTACATGGAAGAGGTGGTGGTGGATGTTGATGGTGTTGGGCTGACTGAAGAGGAGATTAAAAGTGATAAGGTAAACCTCAGATGTTGATGCATTTAGGTCAACATGTGATGAGTCAGGTGCAGGTAAAGCAATGCGAGTTTTAGTATCAGGTCTTAATACAAATGTAAAATGAACTTTTGTAGCATTAATTTGTGAACTTCCTCCCCTAGTGAAGAAAAATATAAGAAAAATAGAGAAGATTGGTACTACAATCAATGATTTCACCCATTCTGTCATATTCAGTAATAAATGTCTACAAGAAAGAGTGCTCCCAAAATATACAAATATATTTTACTTTATATATCTATAGTTTATATATTATTCTGTCAGTTATTCTATTATTTTATTATTCTATCTGTTATTCTATTATTTTTATCTATTATTCAAGACTGTGCAGCAGAAACTTCTTCCATCAACACTAAGCTATGAAGCAACCGGACTAAAGCGCCGTGATGACTATGTGTTTTGGGTAACAGCTTCCACTACTGTTGGAGAAGGAGAAATGTCACAGTTAGTTCATCTGAAGCTCTCTAATAAAGGTAAGTGTTACAATTTAGCCCCATTTTCTGGGGGGAGCTCCGGGGATCCTCCGGGTCTCGCCCAGAAAATGGCGTTTCATTACATTCAACGTGTTAGCGTTCTGTGTTAGCACCTGATTATATCCTCTAATGGTGAGGTGGTAGGTGACATGGATGAATGACATACATGGGGTATTAATGGGGTCCTATGTAGTGGGGTCCTATGTAATGTGGTCCTATATAATGGGGTATTAATGGGGTAGTAAATTAAGAGTGTGACATGTTGGCAGTTTATGTTCTTCTGGTTGCTTCCGTTCCTGTTGCAGGGTCATTCAGTCCTACTTCTGCATTGGCCCCGGGGTCTTGATGTGAGTAGAGTGTAACCATGTATTAGCTGGTTATTGATTGCTGGTCTAGATTTCTTGATATGCAGCACTTCACTGATGTCTACTCTTCTATTGTCATTGTATCTATCAATTATTTTAGTGTTGCTCGTCAAAATATTCCTGGTGATCGTCTCATTGTGTGTGGAGATTATGTTCCTTGATGGAGCCCTCTTGTTTGTGCATTATTAAATGCCTAGAAAGAGATGTTGTCTTGCCTATATACTGAGTTTGTTGGGGCTGACAATCCCCAAGAGGGCACATAAAGGCATAAACAATGTTAGTCTCTTTCAAGGCATTTTTGTTGGTGTCGGGAGAATTTTTATTAGCAGGTTGGTGGTTTCCTACTCTTATAACATATTATTAGTTTTATCTTTTGGTTGACGTTGAACTTTCTGTTGTTTTCAACTAATATATATATATATGTGTTGTTAAATATGACTGAAAAAGTAAGATTAATAATTCTAACACAAATTTTCTCAATATTTCTTATGTTTCTTTTTACTGCCGATGGTAATTGAAAAATCAATTCTCCAAAATTAATTTTTATTTCTAGTCTGATGCAACGCTTGAACACGTTTCGTAATAACGTATTACATTTTCAAAGACTTTAGTTTACACACACACACAACTGTAACCTGAAAACACTTAAGAGTTTTACTAATTCTAACGCTAGAATTCTAGCGCTAAGTCTAACACTAGAATTCTAGCGTTAGAATTAGTAAAACTCTGTTAAGTGTTTTCAGGTTACAGTTGTGTGTGTGTGTATGTGTGTGTAAACTAAAGTCTTTGAAAATGTAATACGTTATTATGAAACGCGTTCAAGCATTGCGTCAGACTAGAAATAAAAATGAATTTTGGAGAATTGATTTTTCAATTACCATCGACAGTAAAAAGAAACATAAGAAATATTGAGAAAATTTGTGTTAGAATTATTAATCTTACTTTTTCTGTCATATTTAATAACATATGTTTACAAGAAATAATAAAAATATACCAAAATATACTAATAAATATACTAATAAATATATATATATATTATTATATGGCGTATATGTACACCATGCGCACCGTGGGACATGTTACTCATGGCGCATATATACGCCATGCGCAGTTTAAGGGTTAAACAGAGGTGTATTCTTGCTCCAACCCTGTTCGGCAACTTCTTCGCGATCCTCGTCAAGCATGCCTTTGGAACAACCACAGAAGGCATCTATCTCCGTACAAGATCTGATGGAAAGCTTTATAATCTATCCAGACTCCGAGCAAAGACAAAAGTACAGATGCGAATCCTCGGGGAGTTCCTCTTCGCCGACGACGCAGCGATCACCACACACACAGCAGAAGGCCTGCAGCAGCTACTCAACCACTTTGCCGCAGCCTGTTCCGCATTCGGCCTGACAATCAGCCTGAAGAAAACACAGGTGATGGTACAAGATGTAAATGAGCTACCCTGTTTAAATATAGCAGACTATGTGCTGGAGGCAGTTCACGAGTTTGTGTACCTGGGCTCCACAATCTCAGACACCCTTTTCCTGCACACTGAGCTCAACAGGCATATCGTGAAGGCCACAACAACACTGGCCAGGCTCACAAAGCGTGTTTGGGAAAATGGCAAACTGACAGTGCACACCTAGGCATAAGTCTACATGGCATGTGTGGTGAGTACACTTCTCTACGGAATAATATGTAAATATATATATGTATGTATGTATGTATGTATGTATGTATGTATGTATGTATGTATGTATGTATTAAAATTATTACAGTTTTAATGTGTAAGTTTCTTTTTAACTTATATTAGTCATATTTTCTATATTTTTCAGTTCCTGCTAAAATTGCATCCTTTGATGATGAATATGTGGCAACATATAAAGAGGATGTGAAGCTTATGTGCCAAGCCGTGGGACTTCCAACCCCTGACATCAGGTAATGATCGCCAAGTAAACCAATGTAACACTTTAGAATTATAATAAATACTTATTATCAATATTTTAACAAAATAATGCTGGCACCTATGGTGAACTTATTATTGTTGATAGCTGTACAGTATGTTTGATTAGATTTTTATTTTGTGTCCTTGATGATATTTTATGGGTATACTGTATTGTGTTTTTTCAGGTTTTACTTGGGATACTCTTTTGTGGTGGTCCTTAGTGCTCTGTTAGCATCTGCTATTTTCCAGCAATGTAACTGTTTGGCAGCTCCATCCAGGTGCTCAAGTTGCCTCTGGATTTAACTGTGCTGGACCATTATTTATTTGCTGTAACAAGTGCATCAAGTTTGCGGAGGTTCTCCGTTTCTGTCTGGTGCAGATTTTCTCAAGGCAACTGCGAGTTGGTCATGGCTCTATGACAACAAACTCATGACAACAAAAAACTTGTGTTTTTGCCATGTGGTTTTTCTCTGTAGCCATGGGTTTCCAAGCTAATTGCTCCGCTCTAAAACAGAAGGCCAACGGTACACATACTCAAGGATTACAGGATTCAAGGTCAAGTATGACAGGACACCTAAACTTAAATGGTATAGTGACATTGGCAGCAGGTGTGAACATCAGAGTTCAAAAACACCAAATTGCCTTCTGAAAACCTGCACACAGCAGTGTTAGGCACGGCAGTTGGGTGAGAAAACTATAACAACCGGCTAGAATTTGTTGACCTGACCCTTCTCGCGGGAATGAGGGATATTGGCCACCTGGACCATCTCACAAACAAGCAGGTCAGGAACTGGGCAAATATTGCAGCTGAACAAATATCACGACCTCTGGCCTGAACCTCACAACAAAGGAAGGCATGTAATAATAATTGGTTTTATCAAAGACAGGAAGCTTGTGTGTAATTACCTAAGCGTAATTACCTAAGTGTAGTTACAGGATGAGAGCTACGCTCATGGTATCCCGTCTTCTCAGCACTCTTTGTCATATAATGCTTTGAAACTACTGACGGTCTTGGCCTCCACCACCTTCTCACGTAACTTGTTCCAACTGTCTACCATTCTGTTTGCGAAAGTGAATTTTCTTATATCTCTTTGGCATCTGTGTTTAGCTAGTGAAAATCTATGACCTCTTGTTCTTGAAGTTCCGGGTCTCAGGAAATCTTCCCTATCAATTTTATCAATTCCTGTTAATATTTTGTACGTAGTGATCATATCACCCCTTTTTCTTCCGTCTTCTGGTTTTGGCATATTTAATGCCTCTAACCTCTTCTCGCAGCTCTTGCCCTTCAGTTCTGGGAGCCACTTAGTAGCATGTCTTTGCACCTTTTCCAGTTTCTTTATGTGCGTCTTGAGATTTGGGCACCATACAACTGCTACATATTCCGGTTTTGGTCTCACAAAAGTCATGAATGGTTTCTTTAGTATTTCACCATCCATATAATTAAAAGCAAGTTTGAAGTTGGAAAGCGATGCATACCCTCCTCTCACAATGTTCTTTGTGTCTCTCTGGCGACAGTTTACTATTCAAAACCACCCCTAGGTCTCGTTCTTTATTAGAGTTTTATAATTCCAGTCCTCATAATTTGTAAGTTGTGTGATCTATTTTCTCCGAATCCACTTTCCATAACAAGGCATTTATTCACATTGAATTCCATTTGCCACTTTACGCTCCAAGCACTTATTTTATCTAGATCAATTTGAAGAGCATTACAATCATCTGAGCCTCTATCTTCCTCAGTACTGTATCTTAGCATCATCCGCAAACATGTTCAAATAGTTCTGTATTCCTTCTGGTAGATCGTTATGTAGACGTTGAACATAACTGGTGCAAGAACTGAACCCTCTGGTACTCCGCTAGTAACACTCCTCCAGTCAGATACATTGTCTCTGATTACTGCCCTCATGTGTCTGTTAGTTAGAAAGTTTTTCATCCATGTGAAAAGTCTCCCTGTCACTCCTCCAGCATGTTCCAGTTTTCAGAACAGCCTCTTGTGTGGGACTCTGTCAAAAGCCTTTATTTAGGTCCAGATTGACAGTCAACCCAACCACCTCTTTCCTGTATTATCTCTGTGATTCTATCATAAAAACCAAATAGATTTGTTATATAGGATCTCCCTGTTCGAAAACCATACTGTTTGTCCTTATTATGTCATTACTCTCTAGGTGTTCAACCCATTTGACTTTAACTATGTTTCTAGTATTTTGACCACCATGCTTGTTAATGGTACGGGTCTATAATTTAGAGGTTCCTCTCGACTACCATTTTTATAGATTGATACTGTGTTTGCCTTTTTCCATATACAGTATCTGCTAAGATTCATGTGTACAAGCATTGTGTAAATTTTGTCATGCTTATTTTTTTTTTTGTCTTCAGGTGGACAATCCGTGGAGAACCTTTTACCCCCAATGATCGTATACGACTATTGAATGAGGGCTCCTTACTAATCCGTGAAGTTTCACGTGATGATGCTGGAGAATACACCTGCCATGTTGAAAATCCATATGGACAAGATACTGTCACACACACACTTCTCATCCAAGGTAAAGCTTTATTTTTCTTTCAGTAAAGTACAGTTCACTGTGTTTGCTCTGTTTTTAACACTTAAACATTGGGTATCATGAAATTAGATACCTCTCTCATATGTGCATTACATTATAGTAAATTCTTATTATGTGATAGATATGTATTTCAAAAGTAAAGGAAAATACCAACAAATTTTATTCTTTGAGTTAAGCCTGGTGAAGCGCTGACATTGGTAATTGTTTGATATTATATTATTTTTTAAAATCTGTCAACATTATAAAATGTTTTTAATTTTCACTTCTATCCATTATTTCTGATGTTGTGTTCTTTATCATTACTACTATACCTGTAATCACATAATAAAAAATAAATCACATAATAAAAATGGTAACTTATTTTGATTCAGCTGAATATTGGTTTTTATTTAAGTGTACCACAAAAATTGGAATGCATCTGCCAGCGTGACTGAAGTTGTACTAAAATAGTGAACAGCCTCAAGTGATTCTTCATGGGACCAATAATGCTTGTGGGCACCTTGGAATTCAAACACTGGCACAAAAATTAAAGCTTCATGATATGTTGACCAGTGCCCTGTACAGCATGTCATATGATCATGATAAATGTTTAAGGGTTTATACAGTATATTACAACAAAGCTTAATCTACCATATTATAATTAGATTAGAATAAATTTACCATTTCAGTGATGTGTAGTTGCTGGTCTGAGTTGGCTGTATGCATTTTAATTATTTATTTTCATTGTGGCTTAGCTCCTCCTCATCCTCCGGAAATCACACTTCAGTCCACAACCACTAACAGCATTGAGGTGAAAATCAAGCCTTCTGTAATTGATGATACAACTCCCATCCATGGATATACAATTTTCTACAAGCCGGAGTTCAGCAACTGGGAAAGCATTCAAGTTCCATCCTCTACACGAACCTACTCTCTTGAAGGACTCTGGTGTGGATCTCGCTACCAAATTTATGCTTCAGCATATAACAAGTAAGTGTTTTAGATTTTTGCCTCACACCAAAGATATTGTGTTAGGAAAATAATTACAGTAACTCCAAATGCAATGTTTCAAATTTAATAATAAACTTTATTTATGCAGTACAGCAAAATATTTCAATTAACTTTAAAACCTATAAAGTTATTCATCAATGTCTTCATTAGAATTGGAACAGGTGAATCATCTGAGATTCTGAACACTCGTACTAAGGGCAAGAAACCAGAGGTTCCTGAAGTGAATCGCTTCGTCGAGGTTTCCTCTTCATCCATCACCCTACACCTGAATGCTTGGCTAGATGGTGGCTGCCCCATGAACTACTTTGTGGTTGAGTATAAGGCTAGGTGAGTTAATGTTTACTCTTCTTGCTCTTTCTCACTTTGTTTTAGAGTATGAAGATAGGTGAATCAGGTTTACTCTTTTTGTTGTCTTTCACTTTGTAGTAGAGTATAAGGGCAGGTGAGTGACTGTTTATCCTTCTTTCTGGTTCCTGAAGGTACTAGATTGGGACCCTCTTTAATAGGGAAAATCACTTGTATAGGTACACAAGCTACTTTGTGTAGCTTATGGGGTCAACAGCCCTGCAGCCCGGTCACCGACCAGGCCTTCCGGTTGGTCGTCTGGTCAACCAGGCTGTTGGACGCAGCTGCTCACAGCCTTACGTATGAATCACAGCCTGGTTGATCAGGTATTCTTTGTTTGGAGGTGTTTGTCGCATTTTCTCTTGAACACTGTGAGAGGCCAGCCAATTATGCTCCTTACATGTAGCATGAGAGTGTTGAAAAGTCTTGGACCTTTGATGTTGATAGTTCTCCCTTAGGGTACCTATTGCATCTCTGCTTTTCAATGGGGGTATTTTGCACATCCTGCCATGCCTACTGGTCTCATGTGATGTTATTTCTTGTTTAGATTTGGAACCAGTCCCTCTAATATCTTCCATGTGTAGATTATTATGTATCTCTCTTGCCTGCACTCTAGAGAATACAGATTTAGAACTTTTAATCGGTCCGAATAATTAAAATGACTTATAAAGGATCTAGCGGTAAAGGATCTCTGCATCTTGTAACCTTTTTCAGACTTCAACTAAGACATAACAAAATGAGTAACATATCCTAATTGCACGGGCACCAGTAATTTAACATAATCTTCCAGGAAGGTACTGCATAATGTGGCAGGTGTGAGTGTCAGAGAAATTAAAGTTCTAATTGGCACTTTACATTTATTATTTACCAATAGTGGAATTTGACTCTCATGGCAGGCCAAGGAATCAAAGAATTGATCATCCCCAGGTGGCTGACAAAAAATAAGCACCTCGACTCTCCCTGAAAGGAGCTTACAAAATTATAACAGACCTGAGTAGATACAGTATTGGAATTATAAGTGTTCCAAAATATTGAAGGCAGAATATATTGTATAACATGAATAATGATTGTGCCATCTCTTGTAAATTGGAGCCTCACATAGTATGATTCTTGATCCAGTAGAGGGTATGATAAACCATGATACTAAACTAGCATCAAAATCAGTAATGATTCCAAGAGTAATTTGCAATAATGAAGGCAGAACATGTAACATGAATAACAATGCCAACTCCTGTAACAATATAGGAGGCCAAGCTTGCTATTTTAGTTTATATAGAGATTACTTGTCCTAGCTAGCTAATTACATAATATGAAATACTGTTTATCTTACTTGAATACCAAAAAGACATTGATCCTGACACAGAACCTGTCTGATGCCCTATAATTGTCCTAGACACTTATAAGTATGACTGCCATCCTCCACAGTTCTGCCACAAGAGCACATGGGCTCTTGCTACAACCCATGCTGTTCCAACATTTTCTTACTGGTTTTCAATATTTACACTTACTTCTTGAGATATGTGCAGCTGTAAGTTATTCTTTTAATAGTCTACATCCTTTTTCAATGCGGAATGCTTGTTTTAGTCACCATGCCAGCTTCAGAGGTCCATAATAGTTAGTACATATATCCTGCATATTTCACATCCACGAAGACTTATGCACAAACAGCCCATGGCGGGAGATTCAAAATGGCAGGGTGGTTTTGGGAGTAATGTTACTTTTATCTATCTTTGGCCTATATTATGGCCCCTGCCTTACACTACCCCATGAAAGTATTAAACAGGTTAACAATGATGGTATTAATATACCTGTTTAACATATATATGCCACTGAATACTATATTTGTGGAAAATATTTAACACATTCTGTCAATACAGAATGTATTACAGTACTAATTTTGATAACTATATTAAAGTGATTATGAGCACCTTATTAGAATAGGAATAGAATAAAAGCAGACGATGAGTCACAATAAAGTGGCTTAAGATATGAAGACTAAAACACACACCAGAAAATGAGGAGACAACGACTCTACGGTCCATTCTGGACCATTATCACGTCGATTGTGATGAGACGAGAGAGGCACGGGCATTAAGTAAGACAAGAGAGAGGGAAGGAGGAGGAAATCTTAGAGAAAGGTAAGAGCAAGGCAAAAGGTACGGATGGGATAGGTGTAATAAAGGGGTGTAAAGGAGTAATAATAAGTGTAAGAATAGGAACATAAGAAAAAGAGGAGAAAGAAAGAGAAAAAGGATGGGTAGGTCACACTTGTTAGAAAGTTTAGAACATTTGAGTATGTACTGTGAAAGAGAAGAGTCAACAGCAACAAAGCCAGGATTAATGTTCATGTTGGGTAGGTTGTGTATCAGAGTCGATTCGACAAGACGGCGTCTGTGAAGAGTAGAGGCAGGAAAGATTATTTTAGAAGATGACCATACATCGTCGTCTCCTCATTTTCTGGTGTGTGGGTTAGTCTTCATAGAATAAAAGAGTTGGGTAAGGTTATTGAATAGTTTTTATAGATATTGGTAAATTTGTTCTTGTTTTTCTTATTAGAGGTAAGGTGGGTATAGTACTATACTAAATAATTTGTTATCAGGCATCAAGCTGAGTGGACAATGGCTAGCAACCAAGTGAAGCCTACTGGTAACTATGTGATTATGGAACTGACACCGGCTACTTGGTACAACCTCCGCATATCTGCCCACAATAATGCTGGGGCCTCAGTGGCTGAATATGAATGTGCCACACTTACCCTCACTGGTGGTAAGTGGAATTCTTATGACAATTTTGAGTCTAACCCTCATTTGATAAGATCTCTTATAAGCCTTAATATATTTTCTTCTATGTCCCAGTCATTTTCTGCTTGTTTGAGAATTATTTAACACAAGTTTTTTGACACATTATATACAGTAATATGTCTTTCTCATATAGAATCATATTTAATGTCTCTATTTCGATTGTTTAGGAAGTATATGTGTGAATTATATTATGTGGAATCATGAACTACTTCAAATAAATATCTAAAATATATGACATCAGTGTTAGACATGATAATGCTATTCAGTCAGCATTGAATTTATTAATGGAACTCATTCTCTTATCTTTGTGGTAATACAAATGTCTGAAAGTAAAGCTTTTGGGAAGAATGACAGCTTTTGTTCATTAAATTCACAATGCAAACTTTTGCAACATTTATTTATAAGTTTTACTCTCATGTATGCTAAACGTTTTCTTTTTTAATGCTTTAATGTTAATGAAATTCTTTATTTATTCTTACTTTTATGACGTAAGAGATGCATGTAAGATATTAGACATCAATTAGAAGTTTAAATTGTTTTGCACAAAAGTGAAGTTGGACAGATCTTATAGCTCCCCTCGCCATCAACAGTGAGTATCCCCCAGATTAATGTGCTTGGAGTGCCTAGTTCTCTTGTCACTGTGTAGAATGCTGAGGTTCTGAAACCATTACCATATATAAAATATAAATCGTTCTCTATTTATACCTAGGAAGATCATTATTGTACTCAAAATAACATCAAGTTCCTTTTCCTCTTGCTAATGACTTTTACAGAAATCTGCAAAAAAAAAAAAAAGAGCCAGATTTAGTAGCACAGTTGTTATTTTAAGAATCATATATTCATATATTAGGTAATGATCTTTCTTTGGTGTAAACAACTCTGTATAATAACTCAAATTTACAAATCTAGATGAGGCTACTGTCTCGTGATGCACTGTTTTATTTAACAAATTATAATGTTCAAGCTGATCAGTTACTCATATGTGTGTGTGTGTGTGTGTGTGTGTGTGTGTGTGTGTTTGTATATGTGCATGTGTGTATGTATAATTACTTAAGTGTAGTTACAGGATGCGAGCTATGCTCGTGGTGTCACATCTTTCCAGTACTCTTTGTCATATAATGCTTTAAAACTACTGATGATTTTGGCATCCACCACCTTCTCACTTAGCTTATTCCAACTTTTACCACTATTTGCAAAAGCTAACTTTCTAATTTTTTTTGGCAGCATTGTTTAGTTTAAATCTTTGACCTCTTGTTCTTGAAGTTCTGGGTCTCAGGAATTCTTCCCTATCAATTTTATCAATTCTCATTGCTATTTTGTATGTAGTCATCATATTGCCTCTTTTTCTTCTATCTTCTAGTTTTGGCACGTTTAATGCTTCTAACCTCTTCTCGTAGCTCTTGTCTTTCAGTTCTGGGAGCCATTTAGTTGCATGCCATTGCACCTTTTCCAGTTTGTTGATGTGTTTCTTAAGATATGGGCACCATACAACCTTCCTTGTATTTAAAAGTAATTCTGAAGTTAAAAGTGTAGCATAGGATCCTGCCCAATGTTCTTTATGTTGTCCTTGGGTGATAGCTTTCTATCTAGAACCACCCTTAGATCTCTTTATCAGAATTCTTTAAAGATTTATCTCATAATTTATAGGTTGTGTAGGGTCTGTATTCTATTCCACATTCCATAACATGGCATTTATTTGCATTAAATTCCATTTGCGAAGTGGTGCTCCAAACACTTATTTTGTCAAGGTCTTCTTGAAGAGCATGACAATCATCTAATTTTCTTATCTTCCCTATTATCTTAGCATCATTAGCAAACATGTCCATATAAGTCTGTATTCCATCTGGTAGATCGTTTATGTAGACAATGATCATTACTGGGGCAAGAACTGAACCCTGTGGTACTCCACTCATAACATTTCTCCAGTCCGATACATTGCATCTGATTACTGCCCTCATTTTTCTGTCAGTTTGAAAAATGTTCAGCCATGTTAGAAGCCTACCAGTCACTCTTCCAATATGCTCTAGTTTCCAGAACAACCTCTTATGTGGAACTCTGTTGAAAGTCTTTTTTAGGTCCAGATAGATTGAGTCAACCCAACCATCTCTTTCCTGTAAAATCTCTGTGGCTCAATCATAGAAACTGAGTAAATTCATTTCATAGGATCTTCCAAATCAAAAACCATACGATCTGTCTGTTATTATATAGTTTTTCCTAGGTGTTTTGCCTATTTAGTTTTAATTATTTTTTTCCAATATTTTGATTATTACACTTGTCAATGATACAGGTCTATAACTGAGGGGGGCTGTCCTGCTGCCACTTTTTTAGATTGGAAACTGTTAGCTTTTTCCACACATCTACTAGGACTCCTGTACACAGGAATGCCTGAAATATCAATTGAAGTGGAATTCTCAGGTGCAGGTTCTCTGAAGATTTAATTTCGAACTTTGATAACCACCAAAGTGGTGGTTACACTTTTGAACTTTTTGTTTAATGTTTCACACATTTTCTTTTCATTTTCCATGAATCTGTTTCCCATTTTCAACCTCTGAATAATATCCTTTACCTGCAATTTGATGTTGATGAATTTATAAAATAGGCCTGGTTCTGTTTTATATTTGTCCACTATTCCTTTCTCAAAATTTCTTTCTGCTTCTCTCCTCGCTGCCGTGTAGTTGTTTCTCGCATCTTTGTATTGCTGGTATGTTTGACCTCTTCCTCCATTGATTCCATTTTTGTCTTTTTTGGTCTCTGGCCCTCTCACAATTTCTGTTAAACCAATCCTGTTTCCTAGTTCTGCATCTGTGCTTTAGTATAAATTTGTTTGTGCTTTTATCATATATTTCACAAAACTTGACATACATCTCATTTACTTCCTTGCCTAACAGCAAGTCTTTCCAGTCAAATTCCATAAAGAAATTTCTAAGTTCCCCATAATGTCCTCTCCTGAAATCAGGTTTTTCAACTGTTTCAACTTTCTTAGTTTCTTCCAGATAATAATGCATTGCATACTTTATTCCCCAAAAGACATGGTCACTTTTACCCAAGGGAGGAAGGTACTGAATGTCAAATATCTCTTCCTCTTTCCTGGTTAATATCAAATCAAGCATGGAGGAAACATCCCCTTCCCTCATCCTTGTAGCTTGTTTGACGTGTTGATACATGAATGTTTCCAGGATGTGGTTTATAAATCTCCAGGTCCAAAAGTCCTCTGTTCTAGCTTCATATGTCTCCTAGTCTATGGATTTCAAGTTGAAGTTGTTGACTACGAACAGTCGTGATCTATCTTTATCCTCTCTCGCTATAATTTCTCTCATTATTGTTATAAGACCCCTCTCATTAATTTTCCAGATCTTCCTTTGTCCATGTGTTGCATGGTGGTGGACTATTTGCTTTTATGATTATTAGTTTATCATCCTGATTGTAGGTCTTTAGTGCTATTATGTCAACTTCTCGTGGATTGGCAATCATTATTTCGTTTAGCTTTAGGTGTTCTCTTACCATCACAGCAACACAACTGCCTTTCCTAATTTTTCTGTCCCGTCTCCAAACTGAGTAGCTCCTTGGGAATATGACCTCATTTAAAATGTTATCTTCAAGTTTAGTCTCTGTGAGTGCAACAGTGTCTGGCTTCTGCACCTGTATTACACTACTTAACTCCAGTATCTTTGATCTCACTTCATCTATGTTGGTGTATACACTTTTCAGGAACATGTTCCCTCTCTCCTTATTCTTCACTCCCCCTTTCTCTAGTGATTTTGTTGGGTTGCCTTTTTGTACCATTTCACTGGCTTGCATAACCCTATCACTTTGTAGAAAAAAGAATTGATTTCTTCTTCATTCCTGCTCTCATTTAGAAGTTTTGCCTACCCCTATCACCTTGTAGAAAAAGTAATTGATTTCTTCTTCGTTCCTGCTCTCATTTAGACATTTTGCCTCTACGAGGTTCAGTTTCAGCTTCTCTCTGTCTTCTTTTGAAAGATTTCATCTTAATGACCATACTTTCCCTTTCTCATTACTTTGTAATTTCCTAACATTCCTTATTACTTCTTCCATCTGTTTAACACCATTTAGGGTGTTCGTCAAGGGTCGATCTTTCCTGTTTTCGTACCTGCCAATTCTCCTGTAGTTGCAGACATTCTCTTTAGATGTAAGACCTTCCTCTAGCACAACAATTTTATCAACTACTTTCACTTTTTCTATGGCTCTTTCTGACCTAGATGTTATCTCCTTTTCTTTGCAACCAAAAATTACTAGGGACTTACTTCGATTGACTGTGTTTTGCACCAATTGTGGGTTTGATGCCTGTTCCTTTCTGAGTTCCAGTCTAATGTTTGTTTTATCCGGGTTGCTGCAATGTTTGGCTTCCTCTCCTGCTTCTTCTATTTTTTCCTTCTCCTTGGCCACTTGTGCATAGGTGAGTTGCATATCCTTCTTGCATTGTTATATTTCTTGTGTAACTTCCTCCATCTGTACTGACAAAAGCTGTTTTTCCTGTTGGATTTCCTAACCTAACCTATTGTAGCCATTTATGTTTAGATTTGCTTTAACTTCTTCTAAACCTATTTTCAAGACTTAATTTTCCTCTTCCATGGCTTTGCATTTAGCTTCCCACTGATTCTTGTCCTTGCATAATTCTGTCACTAACCCTTCAAGATCTTATACTTTGCTACTGAAGTGGTCATTACTTTCTCTCAATTTACTGATTTATTTCTGCATGATAGTTCACAATAATGTCTAATTTTGCCAACTTCTTGTGTAGGCTTTTTATATTAATACTTTCCTTGTTGAATCCACCAAAATCTAGCTCTGTTTTGTTTTTCTTTTTGTCAGTGGCCATCTTGAATTTCGTAGTCTGCACTGTTTTCAAAATGGCAACATTTTCATCCAATTATTTCACTTCCCCTTGCACATTCATACAAGGGGAAGTCAATTTTTCTAATACACTTTTCAAAAGGGGAAGTC